CATCACCCAAATGGAGTTCCTTGTCGTTTCAAAGTCAGGTCAGATAGCCTTTGTGGACCCTGCAGACCATCGCTGTAATGGTCACTTGTGCCGCACACCTCAGCAGTGTTCAACACCCGCTGATGATGAGTTTGATTTCTGCCCTTTCTCTGCTCTGTAAGGTTGATCTTTGAAGGTGAATTTTGAAATTCCCCATAAGATGTTTTAAAGATTTACCGTTGCCATCCGTCTATCTGGAATACACAGAGTGGACGTGAAGACCTTTATGTATGCATGGCCAGCTGTTGTTTGTCGGCAAAACCATGCTGCTCTGTCATTTTTTTTCACAAAGTAGCATATGGTTGGATGACTTTCCATAGGACACTGTATACTCATTCAAAGTTATGTGGTTTTATGAGGCAAAGGAGTTGTTTTTTCTGATTAGTTATTTTTTAAAACCTTATCAGTGTTCCATATTACAGGAAACACTCTGAGTCTGTCAGTCACTGAAACTGTAATAATAAAGTCCATCAAAGACAGACAGCTCTTGTCTTTGGACAATTTGCCCCCCATCAGCCATGACAGGCTCTCTGGTGTACTGTGCAACATTCTCCTCCCTTTGACGAACACATCATTGTTCCCAGATGAGCTGTCTCCCACTAAACACCTCATAGGCCACGAATGACTCCAATCACCAAGCTAATGACTTCATCTCATCTTCCCAGCCATTTGTGTCAGGAAAACTTTTAGCTGAGCTGATTAATTTGTTTCCACTTAAGATAACTTAATTACTTAAGATAACTTGACAAGGTGGAGCTGTGTTTGGTTGCAGAGACTTTTCAACTTGCAAGCTTACACATCAAGGTCAAGTTACTGTAGCTTTGCCTGGCTAACAATTGCTGCAGTGTGTGTCCCACTCTGTTAAATTAAAGCATGTATATGCTGTGTCCACAAAATAAGCGGAAGACAGTTTCAAACCAGGAAATGGTTTAAATGCAAGGAAGAGACTACATATTGGGTTACCTTTGTGTGGTAGTGACTGACTTTCTGTAGCTAAACAATGCATTTTACATACCCTCTTTAGCTAAATAAAGATACATTTCAATAAAAAAGATTCTATATAAAGGATCAACTTTTCTTAATCTTAGGCTGTAAAGCAGTGTTTTACTGCCCTCTCTGGTTGAAACTTTCAACTCTCTTGGGTATGGAGTGTCTTCTGTTGCACCTATAGCCACAGCCAGTAGTGATGTTAGTGTGTACTGACACATCCTGGGGTACACTTCTACAAGGTGAAAGGTGAAAAGTGAAAACCACTGGGCCACTCAGCAAGGGCAACAGCTGTTCTTTAAAAGCAAGATTAACAAATGTACGTCAGTCATTTTAGATCAGAAAATAAGTAAAACAATTAGAATAATCTGACAAAGCATTGGTGCCAACTTTAAATACTTGACGGTTTTTGATAATGACCAAACAATACAAACACAACTTAGTACTGGTTAGTACTCAAAAGGTATTGAGGTTCAATATTAATCCCCAAAGTGAAAATGTGCAGTGAAATTGTTGGTCATGCTGATGAAGATCAACTTTTTTATTGTTATTGTTATTACCTCCAATCATGGTTTTCCTTTCATAGGTCAATATGAAATATTTTAATAATTATTACTTGCTACTATTACAGTACTAGCTATAAAAGCTTTGGAGTATGTTGTATCTAAAACTGAATTAATTAATGTATGTTGTTTTGTTTAAGTTGTCTTGTGTGGAACATCAGAAATAATTTTTCTAAGACTGGATCTTAGATTTTTTTAAAAATCAACAATGTTCCCATTTCCTGAATCGTCCCCTTGTTTTCTTTTTAAAGAACCAGGATCTGCTTTATGTATGATGATAGTCAGTATGCCTCAGAGCAATATCTCACATCTATAAACTGTGTTAAAGCAATATGGTGTTTTGATGTCAAATCACAACTGGTGTACAAAAGAATCTCGGTGCTATCATGTTTAAGTTACAGAGAAGAAATAAGGAAAGAATCTTCAAAGACCCAAGTCACGTCCTTGTCTATAGGAAAATGACAGATTTGCTTAAATTTCACCTCTGGGGGGGTGAAGGTTAGCGAGAGAAGGCTGAATCAACATTTGGCGTTTCTTTCTGACCCTTCTCTCTTTTATCCACTCTCCTCCATGTCCTGAAAGACAGTATATTTATGAATTATGTATCTATGTTTGAAAATATTAAACTTGTGATGTCCTTGTCCTGTGTCTTATCTCCAAGGGCATCATAAGAAGCTGTAAAGAAAGAAAAAAAATCACAGACGCGATGGAAGGCGCGGTCGTAAAATAGCCTCTGACAGCATTTAAATCTTGGTACATACCTCAATGTGTTAAATTACCCATTTTTGCCAAACAAGCCTCTCCATCTCTTTCATTTCCTCTTTACGGTGATTAGAAAGGGTTGAACCCCACAGCAGAGCTTCCTATAGAGTTCCTACCCTGTACATATAGGCAACTATTACTACTGTATAGGGGCGTATGTCTGTGTGTAGAGTGAACAACTGCATGAGTCTTTTGTTCAAATGCATAAAAACAACTTATGTTAATGTGTTCCTGACAAGGGCCCGTAGTATTTATGTATATTACAGCATTGGTGTCTTCTATCTATGACCATGAGGGTCCCTCAATCATAACCAAGTAGTTTTTTGCCTAAACCGGATTAATTATTTTTGTAATGAATCAGAAAATGCTCATATGTTTTGTTTTGAAAGGCAATGGCAATTTTCTTATTCAGACTAAAGGACTTGTGGAATTTATCTGTATTTCACGAGTATTGTGCATTTCAAATGTTTTTCATTAATTTTCATTGTTGATTAATTTGCTGATTATTTCTTTAAAGTCTAATAAGAGTCTAAGGTGACGTCTTCAAATATCTTGTTTTGATCATAACCACAAAGATATTTAGTTTATTATCATCAATGAACAGCAAATTGGGGGCTCTTTTTTATGGCTGACAGCTACAGTACTTAATTTCATTCATTTTTTAACAAATCGATCAGTCAGCTAACATTTCAGCTCTAATCCTGCAACCCCCAGGTTGGGGAAACTCAACTGCAGTAAAAGAAAAGTGGTGTGGCCATTCGTGCTCGGCTTCTCTGGTTTTCCCTTTTATGTGTAGACGTATTCTTTTAGCATTTACATAACTGATGTCTTTCAGTTGTCAGGGGATCGCAACCAAAAGGACACACGCTGTGAGTCAACCAACTGAACCTTTCACTTTCCCGTTACAGTTAAATGTATGAATACTCAGAAGGACGGCATACTCCATATAGCCTGAAATGGATGCACAAGCCAGTGAGATTTGTTTTTATTTTTCATTGAATTAAACCTAGCGCATATGCTTGTTAACAATAATAACAATTGACAACAATAATAAATGTTAGACAACGAAGAAACAGACATTTGTAAAACCTTTATCGTGGGAAAAGGAATTGTCAGTGATAATATTTCTGAGCAAGCACCAAACGAGGACAGTGAGTGTTATGGGAAGAGAAAATAGCACATCACCCCCTGATAGTAAACATACTCTCTTTTATTATTATTATTTTCTCCCTAATGATAGTGCACATTATGAGACTTTTATCCTATCTTCAAGCACCAGTTCTGTTAGTGGGGACATTGTAGCTGTTCCTCGTCATTTCTTGCCATTTGTTTGCTAAAAGTATTTGTTTGCAAGATGAATTGCTGCACTGGCAGGCGAGATGACAGCCTACACGAAGATGATATTGAATTGATTTCTGAAATGTTGCAGAACGGACTAGTTGATGTGTACCACGAGACATGAATAATAAAAATTCTATTAAAAAGCTCTTGAATGGCTGACACTGGAATATTATTTGTGATGATTAATTTTCTTCAGTCATTATAAAGGGGAGTTGGCATCAGATTGCCTCTGACAAAATTGCTTTTCATTCCCTGGTGAATACCCTCAGTATGCTTTTTGAGAGCACAAAACCATATTTCTCAGCGCAATATTATGTCAAGATAGGCCCTGGAAAAGACAACCACAGGCTCTGCTCATGTATCACCTTATTAGTACCATAAAGTCTGTGCACTTTTACCTGGTGGGGGTCATATTGGACATATGGACACATTATAATAAGGAATACAAGGTTTGTTTAGTCCAGTTTTTCTAAAAAGAAAATATGATTGACATTATAATTATGAGATTATAAAATAGACTCTAAGTGAGTGTCAGTGGTGTTTTTCCAGTTAATGAATTTGATTAACTGTATTTTAAAGGCTGCAGGCTGACAGTGTGTCACGTTAAAGCTGTCAAGATTTCTGAAGCAAATGACTCTGTACAGCAGCTGTTGTTGTCTAACTCTAATTAATTTGCTGTGTACATTTGTGTTGAATGAATTCTTTACACTTTTGAAAGCGCAACAATTTGCATTTCTAATTATTTTTATTTTTAGCAAAACATGCATTTCAGTGTCTGCTGCAAACACAAATCTGAACAACAAAAATCAACAGGTGCACTTGAAGGCCAATTATGAAGCTTTTTAATTACTCTGGATCAACCTTGTTAGCTGTTTCTCTCCTAGAGTGTTATTGAACTTGCCATTAAAATGTTGTATAGCACGACGGTTTTCTGATGGGTGTTTTTTCTTAGAGATTCAAGTGCTAAAACCTTATTTTATTCACGCTGTTCCCACTGTTTTGAGATGCAGGTACGATGTGTTTATGCTGCCGTGTTGTGTTCGTGTGAATTTTCCCCGTGTCCTTCCCCCGATGTTCCAAAGACATGAAAATTACTCTAGGTGGGTTATAGACTGCCCATATCTGTGAAAGCGTCTATCTGTGATATGTCCTGGTATTTTCTTTCTTTTTTAATATACAGTGGGAGCAAATTATCCCCTTGCAACACCTGAAAAATTAGCAAATGATGAAAGTTTGCTGTGGTTGAAGTTTTCCTTGATTCATCCTCATCTACAAAAATGGATTCCTTTCTTTTTTTTGCCTTTCCAGAGCTACTCCAGTCAGGGCAGAGGCAGCAGTGGCGGAGGAGGAGCAGGGGATGAAGACTATGAGATCCCCCCCATCACACCCCCTAACCACGCTGACCCCTCTCTGCTGCACCTCATGGAGCATGAGTCAGGTTACCCCTTCCACTCCCTGCCTCACAATGGCCTGCTCAACACCTACTCCTACCCCGAGCTGCCCGCCCTCATGATGTCCAACATGCTGGGTCAGGACACCCACCTCCTCTCGGGGCCTATGCACTCTGTGAGTACGCTTTTTTTTTGTCTGTCCCTTTTTTAGCTGTGGCCCTTTGTGATCGTGCAAGTCAAGCGCTGTGGTAGGTTATTAGTCTTTGTGGTCAGAGGGCTGGAAGTCAGCGCAGAGAACATTTTCTCTGAAGGTTTCACATGTTCGTGTCATGGAGAGTTCAGTCTTTTCAAAATGTTTTCAACAATTATTGATCTTATAATACTCTGTTGAAACTTGCTATGAATTCATATAAACAGCAAAATGACTAATTCTGCTGTGTGCTGCTCTCAATAGTCTCATTCATATGATGATCACAATGATTTTTATTATAGCTTCTATTAGAGTGATAATTAGCCCGATTTAGAGGCCAAGGTAGCTGAGACAGTGAAGAGCAAGGCCGGGGTCTATACATGCAACATTTATAAATACAGAAAGCTGCTGCCTCCTTAACACCAGACCTTTGCAGCAGAGCTCCTTTAATATCTATTCAGCTGCACAACTCAAAGATTTCATTGCCTCAAAGTGAGCTGAGCTAAGAAAGGGAGCAAGAAACTCGGCGCTGCAAATTTTCATTCGTTATGATCGGCAAAGCAAAAAAGGAATGAGGAGGGATCGAGGGGGGAGTTTGAACAGAAAAATCTTGACGAGGAGGAGGGGGGTTATCCCTTGTCAGCTACTTTTTATTTTCAAAAGGATGCTGAGGACCATCTCCCCCCCCCCCACACACACACACACACACTCCAGTAAAGGGACTTTTTCTTGTGTTAAACATGTTTCAGACTGAACATGTAAACACCCCTGGCGAACACATTCAAATTCTTTAATCATAGGATCGAACCAGATGAATTATAGATGGCCTGTGCGGTGAATAATTCAACGTTATATACTTTCATCTGACATAAATATTACTTTTTTCTCTCTGCCCTCCATCATGAATATTTATGCTTTAATGTGAGCATCCGTGGCATTTATCCTCCGTTAATCAGGTCTTATGTGATTTTCAGAATCAAACTGCATAAGTTGCAGGCTCTATTTTTTTCTATGGGTGGTAGCTAAGGCCTCCATTAAAGCCAGCCTTCAGGATTAGGTCACAGTCCATTGGCTACTGTGCTGAATATGCTTGGTGCAGGAGAAAGATGATCTTGAACATTTACAGTCTACAATCTACTTTTTGGTGTCAATGGCTAGATACCTATAAAATAATTTGGATGGGTTAATTTTAGTAGAAGACAACATGTAAACTGTATCTCTGGATGCATGTATGCAGCATTTATGTATAAAGTTTATACTTATGTGATGTCCATGTAAGGGTATATGTAACAAAGCAGCCTCTTTTGGCCAATAGCACTCTAGAAGGAAACAGAGAGGGAGTGCCTGCTTCTTACATAGCTTTTGTTTCACCTTTGCAATTATTTATTCTCAAATAGCCCTTCAGGGTAATGTTCCATTTTCTTATTTCACACCCCCTTTTCTCATAAATGAACCGTCATTGCAATAAATCACCGCACAAACAGAGACTTGCACACACTGTGAAAGGTCCAGAGATTTATGTAACACATTCATGTTTCCCACTTCCACATTTTAGTACTACTCTAGCAGAGCCTGGCTAATAATAGCCGCTATTAATATTTCTTGTTGCCTAGCAACCCCAGCAAGTAATAGCTTACTCTGGAAAAATAGATGACCGATAAGGAAGAAGGAGGGGGGGGGGTTGGTGGGGTTGGAGTGGGGGGATTCAATTCATTTATTATCTCCTGGGACAAGAGGAGCTTATTTCTGAGGCTGCGGAATAGGAAAGTAGGCTGTATATTGAGAAATATTTTAAAGCAATTGAAGGTGACGTTATTTTCATTTTGGTTCCATTAGGAATGTTTCATTTGATGCTTCCCCAACAAAGTCAATTAACCTTAATTTCATACTGATAAAGGTATAATAAGGAAGATTGAATTTATGTCTGCTGAATGCTTAAAGAATAATAAGGGTGGATGGAAGTAGGCTGTCAGTGTAACCGGGGTCGGAAATGAGGAGACAAGCCTTTACCTTTGTTGTGTTGTATTAACAAAAGCCTTACAGACAAAAATTGGAGGAGATAGGTGGAAAACCAAAGCGCTAATCGTTCAACAGTCTTCTTTCACCGTGGCTGAAGAAGCAAATAAAAAGTCAACAGTGTTACCTTAAGGATACACTTCTCTTCAATAAAAGCTATCCTTCAGTGCACATATAAACCTCCTACAAGTACAAGCTCAGCTGGAGCAACAGATACGCTTCATCTCAAGGGATGTTGTTGCTGGTTTTTGTACAACATTTAGCCTAAGGCTAAAGCTCTGTAAACTTCTCCCTGCTTTGGGATTCTCTTTTTCAGCACACATCGATCCTACAGCAAACACGGTTAAATCATTACAGGATTGAGAGCAGTGGATTGACCATCATCATCATGCTGCATAGGCACACAATTTTTCATCAGTTCGTCCTTGAAGCTTTAAAGACTGTAATTTCTGTTCATTTAGAATTGACTATATAATAATCTTATGATATCATGGCCTGCAGAACAGCATATGTTTCTGCAAGAGCCCTGTTTTTTTCAAGCTAAATTCATTCTGTCTGACAACCTCCTCTTTTCCATCTAATTATGACTCCACAGGCAGCAGAAATATTAGCTGGTAAAACAAAAAGATGTGTGGCAGATGGAAAAAACAGGTGTCAAATACATGCATCGAGTCTTAGGCAAATCTCAGAGCTTTAACAATTGATATACATTGAGGTTTGTTTTTTCAGTTTATTCTCAACTGGCAGATCCAGTGCTTTGTTCAGGTGCAGTCACATGTTGTTCATAATAGTCTTAACTGCCAGTTTTGAGCCATTTCTCACTTGAAATTGCACCATTTACAAGGACTCCAACAAGCAGAAGGATCAACATTGACTTTATAAAAGACAGAGCTGTCCATCAGGAATGCTCTTACATTCTCTTAACTCCTCCCCACAACGCTGACCTACTCTGTCAGCTCCTTTAAATCGAGACAGAAAGGGCCAAGTCTTGGATGACTAGATACTGTGAAATGTAACATGCCTTCTCGTGAATGCTTGTTGCTGAGAGAGAATCCCTGTCTCACCTTTAGCTGTCAGCGTTTCTGCCACCCCAGTGCTCAGGGAAGAGGTGGCACCCAGGGTCTCATGTTCAACAAGCCCCCCGATCGTTCAGGTCTGGCTGAGGCTACAGTGGGGGGAAATGCAAGCAAGATCTAGCGCTTTGAAAAAAATAAAGGAGGAGGGACACCCACCAGCAGACAGTAATGAGGGGTCGTGGAGGAGTTTGCAGAACGGCCCCAACACGGAGCCTTGGGGGGCGCCAGCGCGTTTAAATATTGAAACAGAGCACCAGCCCCTGTCTCATTACCGGTGTAATGAGGCTGGTTATGGAGGAGGAAAGCCCCTGCTGCCAAAAAGCAGCTGCCAGTTTTACAAGTTTACGTCACACATTCAGTGAGATGACTCCTGATAGGAACTTTGTTCAGTTCTGTTAAACATGTGCCATGAGATTAATATTTTTGGCAGTATGTGTGACAGGCCAGTTGATTTTTAATGTTCTGCCTGTGTTGAGACAGTGGCACGATATAATTTGGCAGGTGCAGATACTGTTATTTATTTTTAAGGCTGCATTAACATATTTTTGATTGATTGATTGTTGTTGAGCATTTTTTGTGCGACCACAGAGCAGAAGAATTCCACAGCACAGCAGACTGCCCTGACATATTATCACTTTATAAAGTTGTTATTGCTTAAATGTTTGTTTAAATGTTCTAGCAATATTGGAGCAAAATATTCATTCTGAGTCATGTTAGTGGCCACCTGATGGAAATATGTATAATGTTCACTCTCGTTTTACTTCTGGTTTGATTTCAACCAACCCCGGTGGAAAATCCCTGTGCCTTTGGTTGCTATGTGTATTACGTCTCTGGCTAGTTGTCAACTTCGCTGTTTGGTGCTTTGGAGCACATATGATACATTCAGATTAGTGATAATTCACTGTGAGCAACCCCTTTCACATTAAATTCAATGAGTCATTCAATTCATTTGTAATATAGAAAATATTGGTGATTGGAGCTTTAACTTTGGAAAACAAAAATGTACCTCACCCTGGCCTCTATTAAAAAGTATGACACAGAAATACTGAGCAATAGTGCACAGTGCATAGTCACTGATTGTTACAAGGTTATGTGAGCTTGACTTAATTTGACTTAATTTAATCGGTGAAAGGAAATTTATTTTGCATCACTTGGCATTTAGGACATACACAGCAGGGACCAAGGCAATAACTATTTTAATGCAGCAACATGAAAACTATATTGACAGCTGTGGTTATTGACAGCGCAGGGATAGTTAGATAGAGGCACAATCAAGCCATTAAAAAGGTCAGAGTAAGCCTATCAACACTATACACAAATCTGTGTTGTGAAACATCGTAGACCAGTGATATTCAGACATGCACAGAAAGCAAAAGGGTGAAAATAAAGAAAGTGTTCCTAAAATGATCTGCTGTATAAAGCACACACAGTAAAATAAACTAAGTGGTGCACACCATGTATGTTTGAAACTAGAAGATCACCCTTTTCATTTTCCAGGGCCTGTCCACTGCCTACTATCTAATGAGAAGAACTGCCTTAAAATAAACTTTATCTAAAAAAAAGAAGATGCAGTTTGACTTGACTTCACATGCTCAGTGTGGGTGGATTACTTGTGTTTTTTAAATTGAAACAGCAATCTTTTTTTTCCAGTGTAGGTTTTAGACATATCTCATATGACCTGCTTGCTCTGCTGCCTTTCACTGGGATAGATATGACATCTCAGTGACGTTCCCAGATAAATCACTTTTTATAACAGTAGAAATGTTTTCTGTTGTGGCTTTTCATTTTAAAAAAAGACAGATGCCCTTCAGTGCTACACTCCACAACAGGGGTGAACAATGTGTCTTGTAGTTGTCAAGAGAAATGACAGCGAGATAATTGGGAGGGCACTCC